GTGTTACCCTATACCTCACAAGAGGAGAAGCCCATCAGCTGGACTCCTTGCTCATCCACAGGGACATATGTGATTTCTGACCTGATCCTTGGTGCTCCTGTTTTGCCCTGGATTTTGCTTTTATCAGCTCTCCAAAATTGGATTGACTGACATCCATCTATCTGACTAAGTTTCTAATCCAATCAGGAGAGATTCAGGAGGTATTTCAGAACTGTCAGTCTTAAAATTAATCTCTGATACTCAACACTCCAAATGATGTGTGTAAGGAATGGGATCCAGGTGACTCTGTACACCTTGGCTGCTGCATATCACGCTCCCCATTTTGTTGGTGTTGGATTCTTCTTAAATGTCCCAGTGCTAACTGACTAAGGATCACTGCAGTCCCCTGACCATTGTCACTGGGGTCCCAGCATGCTCTGTGCCCTAGCAGGTTCCCATTTTCCTTGGAGCACTTTCCTAATTTGGATTAGTGCCTGATACACTTTGGCTCCCTAATAACTGTTAGAAGCAAAGGTAGAGAATAGGGATGGAGGTCCAAAGTCAGGTGACAGAGAAAACATGGGTAATTAGTTCAGAGGGCTATCCAACCATATACGCTTTCTTATTCCTGCACGAGAGTTGGTTTTAGAACTAGTGGATCCTTCCTTGGGATCTGCCCTGGAAATATTGTAATAGACAGCCACTAAAAAAGATAAGACTCCATGCTTGAGCTCATGGCGTATTTGTCAGCACCTATGGGCATAGGCTCAATGTCTTCAGGGAGTATTTTTCTGATGCTCACACTGTCAGTGTACTCATTGAGCATTTTGATAGCACTTTATTTATGATTTTGGAACACAGGACCCTACATTTTCATTTTGCACCAGGGCGGGTAAATTATGTAGCCAGTCTTGGGTAAGTTATTGGGAAGTTAATAAAGCTTAAACTTCATGTAAGGCTTCAGAAGAGCCTTAGCAAGGTATTCACATGGTTCCTATTTTGAGAAAATTTGGAAAATGTATATTGTAACAATTAAGGCTTGTTCCTCATTACACATTTTTGTAGTACTTCTGGGAATATGACCTTATCGCATCCACAAAGCAAACAAGGGAGGTTCTTCAGGGAGACATTTTAAACCCCAAACCAGGTTAAGGGCCATTTGGAGTTCCCACAGAATTGTGTTTTCCTTTCTTTTAACAGTTAGCAGGCTACAGTCTGTCGGGATCCCTCTTCTATAGCAAATCACAAGCTCCTGGAGGATGGCATTCATGTGTTATTAACCTTTGTCACCCTAGCTCCTGGCATGGAGCTGAGCACTTAACAGACCATCCCAAATGTTTCTTTATCTGAAGTTAAAACGTTTGCAAGACTTTCTGGATATCACTACATAAGGCAGTATTGTTTCCTTAAAAAAGTGATGATAATTTTCTTTCTCCCCCTCCCCCCCATTTACCTTTCCACCACAGAAAACTGAAGGGCAACAGGAATCAAAGGACAGACAAAGCAAAATATTTTGAAAACCTTTTAAGAAATTGTGATCCAAACATTTTGCCTACTGAGACATCTGTGCAATCCTGGGTAACGAGCTCATTCTGCCTGGTAACTAAGGAGGTAGCCCCTGTACCAGCAGGTCAGAAATTCATCCATATGTTCACATTTTTCAGTAGCATCTGGGCAGCTCTCCTTTGAATACTAGAATTTCAGAGCCAGAAAGGAGCTCGGAGAGCATCTGTTCGAGAACCACATTTCATGTTCCAGAAATTTGGATCCAGCAAGGACTTGAGGGTATGCCCAAGACCACACGGCACATCGGAGTCCAAGCCAGAACCAGAACCATCATCCTCTGGGTGACAGTCTCTTTCCACCTAGTTTTAAGTTTTCAGTCCTTGTCACTGTCCCTTTCCCTTCCTCTTGCTCAAAAGAACAACATGAAAGAACTAAAAGCAGCAAAATATTTCCAATGCTTCTACCTGGGTGTAGGACTGACTGAAATATATCTATACATTCTCCTTCAAATTGTGGGGGGCATGGCTTTTTCCAACCTTATAATTCAAGTCAGACAAAAACAAGATCACAAAGCTGCAAGAAATGTGACTGAAATTTTGAAGTTCTCAACGAGGAGGCAGGACTGGGAGTGAATCCCCAGATACTACTGGCTCCCATTTGTTAACATCATTAGTTCTGGTTTGGAGCCCTGGAGCCCATGACAACAGAGGTCACCTTACCCTCTCAACTTTTGCCAATCCCTAGGAAGGTCTCCAAAGGCTAACATCAACCACCTGGCCCCAAGGAGGCATGTTTATGGGGAGAAGAAATATTCCAATAGGCTTCAAAGATTTGTCCCAGATAAACCCCACTCCACAGCCAGATCTGGCCTCTGTCTACTCCACTGGACACAGCTTTCCATTCCTTCCTGTTCATCTCCCCTCACACCTGCCCAGCCTACCTGTACCTCTGTGCAGGGCACTATCCGTTCACCGTCTCATCTTTCTGATTTTTCCTTGCCCGGGCACCTTTAGACTCCCCCTTCTGTACCTGACCTCTGATGGGGACCTTTCTGTTACAAAGGCTTCAGACACACAGTTCGCCATTCCCCAATGTGCCAACCTCCCTCTCAGCTCCACCCCACCCTCATGCCTCTCGTCCCCACCTCCTGTGTCCCCTCTCCACCCGGAAGCATGGTCCCCCTTCTGTTTTGGTTTCGACCTCAGCTCTGGAGAAGTCCCTCAACTTTGTTCCTCTCCACACCCCCTACCTCTCCCACATTCAGACACATGTACAGATCATTCTCTCTCTCCCCTCAGGTCTCTGCTCACACGTTACCTTATCAGAAAGCTTCTCCAGCCCTCCTATTAGATGGGCATCTGCCCAGCCTATAAAACTGCAATGCTCCTACTGCATAACTCTCTGCATACTCCTTCCACCTCACTATCATTGTGACAACACAGTACACAATTACAAAATTACAATGTTATGTACATTTACCCTGTGACAACATAGTATACAATTATTTATGTTCTTTTATCCCCATAACTCTACGAAGACAGGCACCTCCTTTTGTGTGTGTTTGTTTTTGTCCCCCTTTATTGATACTGTATTCTGCATAGTATGACCTTGAAAAATATTTCTTAAAGTAGATAGAGGTTGTAAGCATATTTTTTTAGAGAGAGAGAGCACGCACTCGTGCAAGTGGTGGGGGGAGGGGTAGAGGGAGAAAGAGAGAGAGAATCTTAAGCACGCAGCTTGATCCCACAACCCTGAGATCATGACCTGAGCCAAAACCAAGACTCAGACACTCACCCGGCTGAGCCACCCAGGTATCCGAGGCTGTAAGCAATTTTAATAAATGAAATTTATTTTATAATAAATTTATTTATAATTTATAAAATAAATTAAATTTATTTTACAAATAAATTTAATAAATGAAATATAAAGTGTTTTAATGTTTTATGTAAACTCTTAAGCCCTCCCTGCATGAAGCAACCATGACTAAACATGAACCAGCTTGCATTTCACAATCTCTAGACAGGGCAATGGACTGTCTTCAGCTCCTGTGTTCTGTCTTTTGCTTCTCCCAGGGTTCTCTCTGTTTTCCAATGTCAGACTTTTAAGCTTTCCAACCTTCCTCCCAGACAGACAGCTCATAAAAATTGGTATGAGAACCATTGATTCACCTCTTGGTGTGCATTTATGCCTGTCATGGGAATAAATGCATTATACAACTTAGATTCAGTGTGATAAAAAATACTCTGCGCTCTGATACAGGATTTTCTTCTTTTTGGGGGATGGGGTGAGGTTGTTTTGTTTTGTTTCAGGTAGCAGCAGCAGGTTGGATAAGTTTATTTAGGACTAGGAAAATACCTACTTTCCTACAAATGCTCACATAGGAAAGGGTGTGATGAATGGGAAGAACCCAGGCCTGGGGACCTAGGAACTATCCTCCTCAAGGCAAGGACACAGGGCGAGCAGTTCATTTGGAAGACGGGGCAAGCAAGGATAGGTCAGTGAGAACAAGAAGAGTCAGCTAGTAAAGGATGAGTTCTCCAGTCACTGTGGGTGACTGGACATGGGGAAATCCCATGGGGAGTCTCTGGGAAATGCCTGGGAGTTATCCCACCTGAGGGCCAAGCAACTGGATGTTTTATACACCGACTCTCCCGTGCCCTTGCTTGGGGCAGCTAGGGGTCCATCATGCTTATAGCTTGCCCCCTTCCCCCAGCTCTGGAGAAGTCCCCCAACCATGAAATTCAGTTACTGATATTTGGAAGTCCTCGAGGGCACCTGGCGTGGTAGGACCTGGAAGATAGGAGCAGGACAGGGATCACATCTGGGACAAAGAGCGCTCAGGAAAACAACCACACAAATCTCTCATCTCTGCAAGTGTGTCAGCATTAGGATTTCTCATGCATCATCTCAAAGCCTCCTAACCACCCTATGGGTGAGTATGGTTTTCCTCATTTACAGATAAGAAAATCGAGTCTTAGGGGTAGTGAGGTGGCTTTCCTAGAGTCTTTCCCTAGAAATGATGAGATTAAGTCAAGATCAGGGTTTCTGTCACTAGATCCCTTAACCTCTTTTACTATTAAAAAAAAAAAAAATGTGTCTTGCAGAGAAAATATGAGAAGAGGAAGCTAAAGCCCTTGCTCCAGACAAATACTGTGTCCAGTGAGTCTGTCATGTTGAGGGACAGGGGGCTAATCTGAAAACTGCCCCCAGGTCAAATCAATCACCCCAAGGCAGAATATGAAGTAGAACATTGTCCCTATTGACATCTTTCCCCAGTCATTTCATAGGTTCCTTCCAAAATATCCAAATATCCAAAATTCTGCATGGTAAAGATTTAACTGCTATTCCCGCTGGGAAAGCAGTTAACAAAATAAAATGAGCTTGAGGAAATTACAAGGTTTACATAGTTCTTATAGTTGCTACCTTTGGTCGACAACAATAGAATAAATTAGAATAGAGGCATTAAAATATTTAAAGATCATGGTCTAAATGGCAAGAACAACTAGGCACTTTACTTCAATTAGTCCCAAGTTCTCCCATCAGCTCTTCGCAATGGTGTGGCAGTCATTTTAGTTGAGCCATGTCCGCCAGTTTGCATGCTAATTTTGTCCTGGTCCGTGCCAAGCCCTTGGCAAGGTGAATGACACCCTGAAAAAAAAAAAAAAAAGGTGATTGCAGAGAGTTACCTTGTATCACTTCATACCAACAGAATATTGGTTTTGAGATTGCGTTTTGCTATCTTTACAAGCAGAGTTAGCCTGTTACTATTTCATGAATGTTCCCAGCAGACACAAGCTGCCTGAGTTGGAGGTGAAGGACTTCATCACCCACAGGAAAGCAAGTAGCGTTATCCTCAGCACATTAGCCTTGTTCCTCTTGCCCCCAATCCCATGGGGAGGTGAGCATCATATGGTCCAGATTATGGCTACACACGCAGTAGGTTTGCTTCACATCCAGGGAATACCTGGTTTGGAAATTCTATTACTTTTAGAGCAGGGTGTAAACTAGACTGCTGTTTGTGCCAGAGGAAATGTTAACCTCATCTCTCAAGGTCACCAGCTACAAAAACAACACTGAGAAATGGCTGAGTAAAAGCATTCCTAGCCCTCCACCCCGGCACACCTTGAAGAACCTGGAAGACTACAAGAAGCCCAAAGAGGACTGACTTTCTAAGAGACACCTGCCCCCCATGTTCACTGCAGCATTGTTCAAAAAGCCAAGCTCAGAACAACCCAAATCCTACCGTTTGTGACAACATGGATGATCCCAGAGGACATTATGCTGTAAAATAAGTCAGTCGCAGAAGACAAACATTACATGATTCCATTTATAGGAGGAATCGAAATTAGACAAACTCACAGAAGCAGAGAATAGAATGGTGGTTGCCAGGAGCTACGAGGAAATGGGGAGTTACAAACCAGGAGGCATAAAGTTTCAGTTAAACAAAATGAAAACGTTGTCCAGAGATCTGCCATACAACATTGTATCGATCCTTAACAACAAACCATCAGCCTCTTTAAAGTACGTTAAGTGGTGGGGCGCCTGGCCTGGCTGGCTCATTCGGTGGAGCATGGGACTCTTGATCTCAAGGCTGTGAATTTAAGCCCCAGGTTGGGTATAGAGATTATTTTTTAAAAAATAAAATCTTTTTATTTAAGATTTTATTTATTTATTTGAGAGAGAGCACGCTAAAGAGAAAGAGCAAGAGCGTGCAAGCACGAGCAGGGCGCAGGGGGAGGGGCAAAGGGAAAGGGAGAAGCAGACTCTCCACTGAGCCGGGAGCCTGATGCTGGGATCATGACCTGAG